CCTCTGTGATGAACGCCTGTACACCGCGCCATTAAATTAAATTACACCACGAGTAAACGCAGCTACGTGTGCTCGTGTTTCGGTTCAAAAAGAAACGTTTTATTAAATTTCAACGTTAAATAAAACAATTTTGTTGGATTACATTCTAAGCTGATTAAAATTAGAATATTCACATCATATTTTTATAAATACACCGCAAATCTGATTATTTTATCAAACCACAGGAGGTAATTTTCATAAAAAAAAAATTACAACATTGTTCACATGTATCTCATATAGATTGGCTTTTTTATAAATAATTATTTCCCATATGTAGATTTATTTATTAATTTAAAATTTTTAGATTTAATATCATTTTACAATATTAAATCGCTAGAAATTTAAATAAATGGACAAATGGAAAATCTGCAATTAAATCTTTTAAAACATTTAAGTGAATTGTTAGAAAACATAGATTTTTTTCGAATTAATTTTTGTTTTAATAATATTATTTCTACTGAATACATTTAATCTGATGCATATAAAAGTATATAGTATATTGAACCTTTTCCGAGTTAGTGCATCTGGGCACTTTTACTCTTTTATTGCACCCATCTTACTGCCTAATTTGTGTATTCTTGATAACCTTCGTGATTATTGAATAACTAATCTAAAAGCTGCGTATTGCACCGTGCGATTAGTGATTACTCTGAGATTAGATAGTGCTAAGTATGGCAGCCTATCTGTTTTCGCATTTAGCTTCAGGGCTCTGTCCCTTATGTATTTTTTGACCAGATCTATTCTAAGGTATGATTTGTGCAATATTGCAGAATAAGTTTCTATATCGTCGCTAATGATGTTGGCTAAATCGTTGTTTCTGTATGCACTCTAGCATTTTATCTCAATTAAGTCATTCCTATTAAAATTTTAAAATGTTTTAAAATGATATAATGATATAAAATGATTCAAAACACAACTCAGTAACAAGAATACCTGAAAAGGTATACCTAAAACTACTGAGTTAAACCAGCGTTTGATGACATGGTATTCGAACGAATAAGTCGGTGCTGTAGTTTTTGAACCATAAAGCAGATACTAAGAATTGCCAGGAAGAAAGGCTACCATCTTTCAAGCGGAAATATATACAATCGATTGGTGTATTTACTTTAATCTGAACTGAAATATTGAAACCAAAGAGTATCGATTTTGATTCACAGTTAGATAGCCTTCAAAGTGCTTAAGTTCCATAGACTAACATAGAAACTTGTAAGAAAATGTTAGAAAAGAAAAGCAAACTTGATGAGATAAAGAACTTTATGGGTTCTTAACTGAAAGCAACGAAAAAATAGAAAAACTTGACCAAAAAGTGTATACGAAGATAAATATCTTCGCAATTATTTGGAAGTAAATAGAAAAGCAATGGAGGATATGCTTGGAAAATCTGCCAAATTTTTTTTTCTTTCTTAATGAGGTGTAAAGCAATCGAAATTTGAAGTCAGTGTGAGATTTCAATACACTAAAATTAGTTCAATGTCCGACGGTTTGCCCACTCGGGATCATCGATTTGTTTTTTTGCATTTATTTCTGATATAACTGCAGAAAGTATTTAAATCTTGACATTTCATTTAGCTCAATAAAAAAACATTATCTTAAAAATTCATTACGACTAATTTATGCATTTTGAGAAAGACGATTCATAAATAGAAGTTTAAGGACCCCATAGATTCGTATTAAACATTGATATCACACATGGTGTAAACCGTATATCTGCGTAAAGGCTTACCTACCACTAGAATCATTGGAAACCATAAAATCAATTCTGAACCAAAAATAATTTATGTGAATTCTAATAGAATGAATACGTAATAACATAATAATACTTATGCAGCATGTAATGATGTTTGTTTAAAACTCTACCAAAGAACCTGTTTTTCAATATTAAAAAAAATTATTCTAAAGTTATTGCATTTTATCACATTGAAAAAACTTTAATTAAATTATTTCAAGTAACTTAAAGCATTATGTAAATTTTTCTTCTATTGCAAGAATAATATTTACAGAAACTGTAAATATTTTATTCACATATCTATATAAATCTATCTTCATTATGTGCAGTATATGTTTGGTAATGCCCTACGGAAATATAATTTAATATGAATACATCGAGCCAGTATTGTTCAACTCAAACAAGCAAATAAGTTACTCATACGCCATGGTGAGCATCAACAGCTTCAACATTTCAGTTTATGAATTTGTATGAACCAGACAGAGTAAAGGTAACATTTACATATAATGTGGGAAATACATTTTGAAAATATTAATGAACATTTTCTACTAAAAAAAACAATTGCTTAATTATTCTTTTAATAAGCTTATTTCTTGTTAATAAAATTTTTTGTCTCAGATACAAAGATACAAAAAAAATACGAAGATATAAAATATAATTTTTTCTCAACCTTTTTGTAAATTTTTAAAATTTATAATTTTATAAAATTTATTCACAAATAAATAAGTTTTAGAACAAATATCTTAAATATCTGTTATTTTGAGTATATTAATTATATGATTAAATGGTGATCTCTACAGTTATTTAGGAAAATAATAAATGAAATATAATAAATGAAATATAATAAATGAAATTGAGTCATTTATTGTTGATCAGAAGCATTGTTTTTCTAATCAGTGCAAATTTTTTCAAGTTACTAATATATTGTCTTGTAGAAAATATCTCTTCTCTTCTCGAATGGTTGCTACTTATTTCTTGAGAAATCTTCTGCTTCTGCTTCTTTTTCCTCTTCTATTTCAATCGTTTCTAAACTTCCAACTATTATTGATTTATTACGTACACAATTTAGTTATCAACCTTAAAGAAAATAAAATTAGTTTTGAAAATCATTATTTTTCTTAAAAAGGAAATCCTTATTTGGCACTTGAAGCATCAAAAAAAGTATCTTTTTAACTTGATTGGCTACAGAACAAACTTTATAAATTTTTGCATAATTTTTCCTATACCTTTCTGTGAGGTCATTGTACCATCATTAAGAACTTTAGCTTAGATTCCGAAAACAGACAATCAAAGTATAATAATAAAAGTTTTGTTGGGCAAAATGCCAGGAAAAATATTATACATTTTTATTATTATTTTGTTTTTTGTATTTTGTATTTTTATTTTTGATTTCATTTCATAGATAAGCCATCGACTTTCAACGCAAAATCAAAAGTTGAGAACTACTCGTAAACATTGCCAAAAGTATCAAAAGTAAAGTTTTAAAACTCTGAGAACAAGTTTTTTTCAAAACTCAAGTCAATCTTTGATAACAAAACAACATGTTTCCTAAGAAGAAGAAATGTTAAAAATTTTTAAAATGGCTAGTTTTACAGATGTTTTAAGAAGAAATAAGCTTACATACATGAAGTAAAAAGTTTATATCCAGAAAAAGTTTGCCATTTTAAAATCTTTCACACTTTAATTCACTTAAACTGCTTAAAACTATCTTTAGGCTATGGAACTATGATCATTTAATTTCATATTCAGATTCATTTTTGATTTTGAACAAATTTTGAAAATTATAGTTTTTCATATATTTTATTCAAACAAATACTAAAAAAATTACTTTTGACTACATCTTAAAAATAGTAAATAAAGAAGATTTAATTAAATATAAAATTCAAATTGGTTTAAAATAGCCCACAACTATATAAAATGCTAGAAAATGTTTGCAGAAACAAATGCATATGCGGTGCACAGATTTTCATGACTATCATGGAATGGATTGGACAATTCCATCATAGTTATAAGGATCTGGAAAAGGATGTTCGCGAACGTCTACCAAAAACTACTCGCAATTAATAAGCTATCGTGAAGCTCAGTTGAATTCTTCAAAGCATCCGCTGTCTGCCTGCTAGACTCATCAAAAATCAGACTAAATACCAAAACTCAAAGTCTGAAGTTTTTAGGCCAAAAATTTGATCAAAGAAAACATCTGTATGGGATTCATAACACACACTCGAAGTGATGACCAAAAGCACTCGAAAGTTCACTATTGTAAACACAATTTTATAATATAAGAAGACATTCGGCAAACCTGTCAACCAATACAAGCTACAAACTCCAAAAGCTAAGATAAGAATAAAATTATTGAAAGCAAACTCAAGATATTGCTGTTTTTTTTGCTGCTCATATTTCATCGCAGAAATCTGTTATAGTACTTCAATTCTTACTCAAAAAAAAAGTATCTTTCATATTAATCATTCGGCATTTTCGCCTAATTCAGCTCATAACTATTTCTGGCTATTTTTTGAAGTTGAAGTTATATCCTTTCATACAATTTTAGCCAACCTTTCAACTACCGAACATCACACACCAACTAACTTCCAATTGAATTGTGGTTGTACGCAATTAAAGTGGAAAAATTCCTATATCTCAAACTAGTGAAGTTTTCAAAACCCTTCCATTCCATACATACTCATTTCCCCGTCCCTCCATTGATTATATTTGTTTATTTGCCATCTTAAACTTTTTATAACAGCAACATACTTAGCTTTCGCATTCTTTTTAAAGACTGGAACTAAATTCATATTTCTGATTTAGTTTGCTTAATAGACGAAAGCAACGAAAGTTACAGTAAATTGTTGAGGGGAGCATGGAGGTTAAAGATGAAATTTAGTAAAGGGCTCAAACGTGGATATTTGAAATTATTGAGGGAGGAGTTAATGCCCGCGTCCACTCAAATCCGTCTTCTGCTATTAGTTTCATTAACGGCATAATCAAGCGATTTTATTCAATCGTCTGATTGCTACCTGATTGAAGCGACATCAACTTGTTTTTCTGGAAAAGCCCCGTTTAGCCTTCGTAGCTGTCAACGTCACAATCAAAGCTCATTCTCTTTTATTTAGGCTAGCGAAGAAGTACACGCAAACCAATTTGTTTTATTATATTTAATTATTAACTTATACAAAAAATAAAAATTTAAAAAATTTTAAATAACTTAACATAAAACAATCGAAAAGTATTTTGGCGACGATCTTAATAATTGAAAATAAATTTAATGAAAAGTGCATCCTTCCCATTTTCTGTTTAATTTGTATGTACCTATAGTCTCTCAATCCCTCCACCATTATTCTGTTACATGAATATCGTATTGGTAATACAATATATACATGTACCTATATACAATATTGTATTTTAAATCGCCAAACCGAAAACTGAAACAATGCAATACATTGTTTTATTTTCCCAGCGTACAGTGCAACTACCATCCGTTTCATTGTCCCAGAAACAAGAACTTGCCGTATGTAAACCAGCGCCATTTTTCTGCATAATCATGGATGTAACGATATACTTATATGGTTTTCGTTCTTTAGTTAAAGTATGTAAACAGTTTTCTACTACTTGACCAGTCCAATTGTTGACCTTATCAATTTCATAGGCATAACCACCGATGGTACTCTCAATAGCTTCTTTAATAACTTCACTTACATCATCCACAACAAAGGCACGTTCTTCACTTTTAACTTCCATTTTAACAATGTAAACTGTACGAAATTTTTTTCTTGATTAGTATAAAAATAAATATATATCTAATGTCTTACTTAGAAGCAAAGGTGATTATATTATGTATCCAAGCAACAACTACAGTTTTGTAACAAATAACGAAATTACATCAAATCTGTACGTCTTCTTACCAGATAGGTTTAGTGTTTTCTGCTAAATTATGCTATGGCAGTAGCAAGAAGACAAATAGAGTTGTCTGTTTCAACAAATAAAATGTCAAAAATTTTTTAAGAAACAGAAAACCTGACATATGTAATAAATAATATTTGATAATAAAAATATTTCGTGGTATATTGATTTTTTTTTTGTATATTGAGGCTAGTTGACTTAGTGCACTTGAGCACTTTTACTCTCTATTAACTGCGAGGTTTCTTCATAACCCCTCTCTACGCCTTGACTGGATTATTGTTTATCACTTCATCAGACTAAGCAATAACTGACCTCAGAACTGCATACCTCCCCAAAGAGCCTGCAACCATTCTGAGATTCGATAACGCGATGTTGACAAGTCTGTCAGTTTTCGTTAATTATTTCAGCGCTCTATCCTTTATGTATTTTTTGATCAGATCAATCGTGGGGTCCCTAAGGATGTCATGCGTCCTAATATACCATGGTACCTTGAAAATTCTTCTCAGAGCTTGGTTTTGTGCAATTTGTAGCTGGCGAACAGTAGTGCTGAAGGCTACACATGCATATAGAAGTGACGGCCGAATTTTTTGGTTATATATCAGCTTCCTTGTCTTAGAATTGAGTTAGTTTGCTATAAAAATATCATAGGAATAAAAATTTAATAATGAAATTAAAAAAAAATTATGTAGAAAACGCTTAATATATGTTAGCTTCGAATTTAAAATTAAACATGAAACATGCTTAACTTTGAGTACTTTTATCTATAGTCCTATAAATAACAAAGACATTAAAAGCTATATATCTCTTGTAATTGTTCTTTTTTCTTAATATCTTTTTTTTTGTAATTTTCATTATTTTTATACTCTTTGTCTTATAAACATATAACAGCATTTCTGGTTCATAATTAGGTGGAAATGCGCTTTATTAAGTGTGAAAGCGATAACATTTGTAAAAAGGTCTAACGACATGACACAAAAGTACACTTCAATTATTTTTATGCTAATATGAATATTAAGACAAAAGATTGTTTTCACGAGGGTCATTCCTAAGTAGCATCATTACCACGTTTGCACCTTTTATTGTTGCTTTAAGTATGACCGTTGGAGAAAAACGCAAATACAGTGAAAACGGGTCATTAAAATGCTTAAGTACCCGATGAAAAACAAAAATAAAAGTTGCACGGAAAATCCTATAAAAATAAAAAATAATTAATTTGGATTATAAAAAAACACAAACAATAGCCAACAAATTTATAAATTTTTATATTTAATAGCGTTATTAAAGTAAACTATAATACTACTGTAGAAAATTATTAGATTATATTATGGAATACGGATATTATGGAAACTAGTTTCAGTCTCAAAAAACTAATAAGTATTCATAACTTTGCTATTTGCTTCAAACAAATCATAGTTTTGTAACTTGTGATATTTTATTCTACTTTTATGTTGAGCTAGTTGAGTCAGTGCACTCAGGGATCTCAATATTGATCCGATCAAAAAATACATAAAGGATAGAACCCTGATACAATTAACGAAAACTGACAGACTTACAAATACCGCATTATCGAATTTCAGAATGATTACAGGCTTCTCGGGGAGATATGCCGATCTGAGGTCAATTATTGCCTAGTCTGACGAAGTGATAAACAATAATCTAGTCAAGGCGTAAAGAGGGGTAATGAAGAAACCTCGCAGTTAGTAGAGAGTAAAAGTGCTCAAGTGCACTGATTTAACTAGCCTTAACATTATAATAAAAACTAACAAACGAAATTAAAATAATGTTTCCGTAATAGTAGTAGTGTTCACAATCTTTAGTAACAAGCTTGGTAACAGTTTAACTGGGAACAATAAAATACATTGACATTGTCATACTTCAAATCAAGAACTTCAGAATCGTACTGTAGGTTGATGAAATTATTTAAGCAAATTTCAAATAACATTGAGCTATAGGACAATATGAACTCAGATCAGGCCAGCTCTATTGCAACTTCTTAGATCGTGTTCATTGGTGACCATACAACGGACACCCGTACGCTTGTTGTATTACTATCCACGCTGATTTATATCAAGATAAATATTCATTATTTAACTAATTTCCAACATATTCAAAATAGAAATCAGTCATTACTAGCATTTTCTCTAAAACTGCAAAGAATATACAATCGAAAAAACTTTGTAACTAATTGGAGAAGTTCAAATTCCTTTCACTCAATCTGTCTCATTACAGTAAGTAGATTATAAACAAACGATTGACCATAAAATATGAAACCCATAAATTTTCCGTTGGGTTTTAACACCGATTTGGCAAGCTTTTACTGGTTGCTTAAGCTTAGAACTGGTTTATGTTGCGAGTGTAGCATAGAACATCGTTCTATAATGTTCCGTCTGTGGTTATATATATACATAAATGTTCGGAGTGTAGTGATGAAATATAATTCCTACATGGCTATATATTTATATACCTCATGAAGAAATAGTTTTTAGTTTTATTCATATCGAAACAATGCTTAGTATTAACAGAGCGGTTTTGGATTAACTATGAGTAAACGCAATACTTGCTTTGGTAATGGTTTTCTCATTGATAAATGTTCATATGATAAAAGTACTGATATTTTTTTAACTGTTTGAGATAAAATACAACAACTTGTATTCAACACAATTTTATTTATTTTTTTTTAATGTTTTTTGAAACCTCATTTCAGTTACAAAAGTTGTTGATATTTTCAACAACATTTGAACTCTGGAAAACAATCACAAAAAGTTGATTTCGACAAAGCAGAGTTGGTTAAGCAGTTTCAGCGCCAGGATTTCCACAGTATATTTTCAATAAAAACTTAGTGTTTGATGGGCACACAGAATTGTTTTTCATTCAATTGTTTTCCAAATATTAAAAGTAGCTTCATTAACTCCAAATGTGTATTGTTTAAATAGTGTGAACTTGTTGTCTTTTAGTTCTTTATAAAATTAATGAAAATTTAGTCCAATAAAATCCAATAGTTTTTATTATGTATATTTGTGACACAAAATAAACTGCAGCTGGTACCACAAAAATGTTAGCGTTGCTATCCATTCGTTTGTGGTTCTTCGTTGAAACAGTCATGCTGCAATAGATTATGGAATCAAAATGTCACCAACAACGTCTGGTACCCGTATGTCAACGTTTGTAATTGATAAAAAGTTTTTGAGCTCAAATATCAAAACAAAATTTAATAAAATATGTTAAGCATTTTGAAACATGAAAGGAATATCTGACCAATGCACTGCAATGAGTAAAACCACATTCGTTTTAATAAACTATTTTTATGATAATTTTTGAAAAAACGTGTAGTATTTTATTTGAAATATAATGGAAGATGACTTCAAAATATTGTATGTTAAGATGACTGTGAGGTTAATCATCAATTTCTTCTGCGCCAAGCGAAATATAGACGCTCGGTGAAGCATTTGAAAGGACACATTAAGCAATACATTAAGCTACGCAGTAAAGAAGTTGGAGATCCTAGCAATTATTTTGCTTCTTTTAAAACACTTCAATATATATAATAATATATATACTCGTAAAAGTATAAATAAATATTTCCAACACTTTAAGAGTGGTGCTTTACTGGGTGTCTGGAAGCACATGATTTAGTGGCAATGACTTCGCATTTGATTCTGCAGGAAATGGTTCAGATAATTTACTTCAGATAATGGCACAGCTAAAGATACATTTACTCGTTCGGTGGGGTGAGATTATTGACTGATTATTTGACAGGTTATCCCAGTCTGAATTATCCTCTTGGAACTGTTCGGTTTTGTTCTGGGCGAGAAGAATACGGCTGACTTGAAAATTCCTATTCTAACTCGAAGTTTGGGTATCCTTAAGAAGTTTGTTATGTTCAGTTAAGATCGTTAAGTAACACAAATAAGTAATCATGATCTCAATATTCTGCTCGCCGATAGTCAGTAAATTTTATTTTACTATTCATTCTATTTTACTTTTTACTCATGTAAATTTATCATATATTTTTTATATAACACGTGCTTAAATGATTTTGGGTTATTGAAGTCAGAGTTGTGCAAAACCAGTTATATTAGAAATTCCATTAGAAGTACACTTCCAACTTCGAATTCCTTATAATTAAGAATTTGATTTTTTCAATTCCAATTACAATTGCACTCTGGCATCTTAATTTCAAATTACAATTACCCACTAATTACAAATTTAGGATAATGTAATTACAAAAGTAATTAATAATTTAATAAATTAATTATTTAAAGCAGAGCTCTGATTGTAGTGTAACGACCACAGACACTTATAGTTTCATAATGTTTTAGGTTATCTATATTTGTAACTTCTAAAGTCAAATTACTTGTAAAAGTCACATGTTCGGAGTCAAAATATCAAATTGAAGCAGTGTGTTTCATAGTTTATGGCACAATTATTTGCCAACATGAGCAACGACCTCTTGTCGTAGGTCACGAACTCCGCAGATGATTTGTCGATACCTGTAAAGTCATGAGTCGTTTAAAAGAAAATAAAGAAAGTGGTTTAACAATGAAAGTGATTGTCATGTCCTTTCAGGGTGGATTCAAATGAGGTGCACCAAAGAACAGAGTGAACTTGCTAAGAAAGTAGTGAATTTGCTAATTGCTATAAACTCTATTAATCCACATGACGCAATTCACAGGGATGGTTTTTAATTACCATTTTAATTACTATTGTGAAGATTTGTGTTGACTTCATTTTAAGTTTTTTTTTTCAATACAATTGGGTATATAAGCAATTGGTTTCTAATGTTACGAAAAATAAATCTTTTTTCCGTTTAATACTTACGATAAAGCAAATTTAAACTACTTTACTTCAAATTATACTCAAATGTTGTTTAAAGTGAACAATTACAATAAAAACAATGGATTTAAAAAAAGTTATTAATAAACAGAATTTACTTGTAAAATATTTCAGCAAAAATCTTTAGTGCCGAACGTGACTGAAACGCTGAACATTACACAGAAGCTTACACGCTCAACTTACCTTTGCAAGTTAGATTTTTTCCAGGATACATTGTTGAGAAACTTGCACAAACTAGCAGCAATA